GTGAGGCCAGCCTTTTGGTGTCCAGTGGGTCCCACAGAGCCTGGCACCAACATACTTCCTCCACAAGACCATGAATCTTTTGCAGGCAGGGCCAGAGTCTGCTCTGTTTCAGACTCCTGGTAGTGAGGTTTCTGTCCCTAGAGGTGAGCAAGCTAAGGCAGCATGACTGTCTCTCAGAGGTAGAGAGGGAGAGCTTACTGGGGTGCGGGGTTCCGGGGCTGAGTGCCCACCCTATGCCACTACTTGACCAATACTTAGCCTGCTCTGTATGTTACACCCACTTCACAACTGAGAAAACTGAGGTGCTGGGGCTAAGATGGCTCTCCTGGAGCCGAAGATAGCTGACTCATTCATGAACCATCACCGCTTATTAAGACTGCTGGGTGCCAGGCCTCCCTGCTTCCTGAGTCTTCCCTTGGCGGATTCTCCCAGCCGTTGTCCACACTTCACCACAGCCACTGGTGGCTGCCCTCTGTCACTCCCACGGGAAGGGAATTGCCCCAGCCCCACCCCAAAGCTGCTGTTGACATGGCCGTTGGCTCTCTTTGGTCTCAGGGCCGCTGGAATGCCTGTTCCTGGTAGGACTAGGGTTCTTTATGGGGGTTAGGCCAACCCCAGCTGTTGTGCGTAGGCGGGGAGCCTTACAGGCACTGCTGGGGGCAGGCCCGTCCTGGTGCCAGGGCGCTGGCCGCCTCCGCGGCAGGACTCTCCCGGCCAGGACACCCGAGGTTGCAGGGCCTCCGTCCACTGACCACAGAACACTGATGGAGAACTTCTGTGGGCAGGCCCAGGAAACAGGTTTCTCCATCTCAGCTTCATAAAATGCCTGTTTTTAAGACAGTTTGGGAGAAAAAAAAACACAACTCATCAATAACGTGTCATTTTGTGCAGCTGACCTTTTGCCCCTGAATGCAGGTAATTCTGGCTGTCCCTGTTCAGTGCCATCATGTTGGTTTCAGTCCTTTGTCCCGCCTACTGAGGCTCCTGTAAATGCCATGTTCCTGTGGGGCATTGCCATCGGCACATTTGATAAGCCATCCTCCCACGGCCCCAGCTCCGTCTCATCCAGGCGCTGATGGAAATGAACAGGGCTGAAGACAGAGACCTGTGGCCCCCCCCTTAGAGACCCTCTTACTCCAGCTGGACTGATTTGCAAAGCTTCGTCTCAAGGTCACTCTGTTCAAGGAGTTGTGACCTCTCCTCACCACCCTGCGCTCAGCACACATTTCCACTCCGCCCACAGGACAACCTAAAGAGCTTGTTCCTCAGACACGCTATAAACTGTCACACTCCGTGCCTTTGCCCACAGTGTTCCCTTTGTCTTGGACACCCTGTCCGTCTTCCTCACCTGGGTGCCAGGACACGGGTTTGTGAAGTCCTTCTCCATGGCCCCCTGCCAGTCCGCCAGGTTCCCACAGGCCCCCAGATCCCCGATCATGGTGCCCATGCCCTGTGCTGGCCATGTCTGCCTGCCTGCATGGCCCCTGCTTTACACCTTGGGAACCCAGGGTACCCAGAACCCAACCTCTCTGAGCCTCAGTTTCCTCGTTTGTCAAATGAGAATCCTTGCCACGTCAAGGGTTACGGTGAGGATCCCGGACCCTGCGTACAAAGTGCTGGGCACACGGCGGGCTCTTGGCGTTCACTGGCTGAATGAATGAGCCACGGGTCCCTGTCCTCAAGTTCACATTCTGGCTCGGACTGGAGGAGGGAACGAAATGAAGAGCCACCAATGTGCTGTGGGGACTGCCAGCGGGGAGCGGTGATTCTGACGCAGAGCTGGGAAGGCTTCACTATCGGGGAGTGGGTGTGCTGAGCCTCGAAGGGGGCTCCTCCTTTCCCAGCTAACAGAGCTGGGGGAGAAGAATATCCTAGCTCCTGGCTTTTCCTTTTAATGATGTGCTGCTAATATTTGTGTGTGTCTGATTTAACGGGGGTGAAATGGTGACGGAGCGGCCTTATTCTGCACTTTTGTTGTTATTGTTTTTTGTTTTTGCATGCCTGTTTCCCTTTAAGGCCGGCTCTGAGAGCCACAATTCCTTAAGGTATGTGTCCAGGGAAATCCTTCTCCATTAGCTCAAGATTGTGAAATGAGCTCAGCCCAGGAGAATTTGGGTGGTTTTGGGAAGTGGTGCCTTTGAGATTACGATAGCCACGGTTGGCAGGGGAGGAGGGCAGAGGACCCTGGCATGCCAAAAGTGGCACCAGGCCCTGCTCATGTGATATAAGGAACACGGAGACTTTTCCTAGCTGCTGCCCAGCCTGACATGAGCTGAATTCCACCATCACTCATGCTCCTTAAGAAAAGGGCGTCTATTAAAATGTAAATATTTTGTCTGGGAAAGGGAACACTGCTTTATTATCGAGGAAAAGGAAGATGGAAACTTACTTTTATTGAGTGCCTACTGCATGAGATGGGCACGCCTCACATTGTCTTCGATCCACTTGGCAGCCTAGCGAGGCGGCTGAGTTACCCAGCCCTGCAGGTGAGAGAGTGGAAATTCTGAAGCACCAGGGGATGCCAAGTTCTTGCAGAGCCCCAATGAGAGCCCAGAGCTGACTCCCCACCTCGCTCCGCTTACCCATGTTGGGCAGTGGCTCCCTGGAGTGTGAGATGAGACAAGGCAAGGTTCTGGGGACACCCTGCCCTGGGTTCAGTGCAGCCTTGCCTCCAATCAGCTGTGTGGCCTGAACAATTCGCCGCTTGGATTTCTCCTCATCTGTGGATGGAGTAGCGGTCGCACTGACCACCACTCCCCCACCCTGCCCCACACCCTGTGGGGACAGGAAATATGCAAACTCTGTGACACAGTGTCTAGGCTAACCAGCTCCCTGTCCCCTATGTGTCCATACTGGCACCTGAGGAGAGAAGGCAGGTGGAGGCTGGAGCAGCTGGCCTATAAATGCGAATTGGTTCATGAGACTGGTGGCCTCTGTAAGCCACATGACTCCCTTGCTCCCCCATGGTCACGTGTGCAGCAGCCAAGATCCGTGTCCCATTCCCCAGGAGCCTAGTTCAGGAACTACACAAAAGAGGCCAAATTCAGAACCCCTGCTTGAACCCTGACCTTCTGCTCCCTCTAAGGCCTGGAGCAAGCCCCTGGCCTCCTGTGTGCCTTGGTCACCCTATCTCTAAAGTGGAGAGCCCAGCAAATTCATGTCTCCATGACAGAGAGGAGGCTGGAGAGAGAACAGTCTCTGACCTAGTGAAATTGCATGGTGCCTCGAGGACGAAGTGCATAAGCTGCTTAGCTGAGGGCTATCATCACAGGACCTGAAACCCTCATCAGCTGGTGACCGACAGGTGTTACAGCTGCTGGAACTTTGGGCTGCAGGTTCTGTGGGATGTTTGTGGGATCACCCTAAAAACATGTAGTGGCTCGCTTTCTGTGGCTGCAGCTCAGGTTCTATCTACCCTGGGCTGGCCAGGGTTCCATCCCTGCCACCGGGAACCGATGCCTCTCAGCAACCTCGTCCCACTTTGCAGAGGACAAAACTGAGGTACAGAAGGTCAAGTCACTAGCCTCAGGTCCCGCAGCCAAGGTGTGTCAGGTCTGCCTGACACAGAGTCTGGTCTCCTAACCACAGTGCCAAATTGCCTCCCACGGTTATTACCATCATCACAATAGAATAGTAATAGTAGTTCTAATTATTATTATTACTGAGGGCAGTGCTCCAGGCAGGCAGGTCTGGGTGACTGCATCGTGGAGCCAGGTGCCTGGCCAGGGCCCACAATTAGGCAGGTCCCAGCTGGCCCTAGGACTATGCTAAAGATGTGAGGCCCCCGTCGTGTGGCCTGTAAGCCCGGGTCAATGGTGTGGGATGTCCCCCCACCCTCTGTCAGGTTCCGGTCTTAGGCAGAAACCCCAACTCATCTGCTCCTGGATGCATTTGGTGATGCACCCCATGGAGATTCATGAATAGGAACCCTGAAAATTCAACCAGAGGCACCCATTGTTTTTAAAAAGCACAGGGCCCACCCCTCCCCAAGCTAAGTACCCCTGCTCCAAAAGGCCGTGTGTCCTGCTGGTTAAGAGCATGGACCTGGGCCCAGTTGGCCTGGCTAAAATCCTCCCTGTGTGACCCTGGACAAAGGACTTCTCCACCTGCACACCAGTGCAACACTCAAGGCCATTGTGAGGGCTGAGTGCGCTCGAGCTGTGCCTGACCCACGTCGGTGCTCAGTAAACGTCTGTATCCTTATCCCTCTCGGTGATGCAACTGAAGAAGGACCTGTCTGTCCTGGTGCAGGAGGGGAAGTGGGCTCACCAGGACCGACTTTACGGGTGAATCTGACTCTGGGATAGCTGGCCTCAAGTGTGTTAACTGAATGGCTGATGTGGCTGGGACAGCCCTGTGGCCCCAGCGGGCATTGGCTCTGGGCTGGTGAAGCAGCAGGGCGGTCCAGGTCCCTGTGTTTGTGATCCCTGGGCCTCCTGGTTCCCACGGAGCTGAGAGGCCACAGAGGAGCCTGCCAAACAGGTTCCCCACTTCCCGGCTCTAATCGGGATTCCAGCTCCATCCTGTTCTGTCCTGTCAGCTGGGACCAAGGGAAAGAGGTGGAAACTGCCCAAGACCATTGCAGGCCTCTGGGACATGGCTGCCCAGCTGCCCTAGCTCTGGGCTTGCAGGCCAGGTCTGCAGCCTCAGGATGGGGGAACCTGCAGCCTGTGTCAGGCCAGAGCTGGCCTCGTGGGCTCCCAACAGGATGGCTGCCCGAAAGGGATGGCTCTGCAGGCACAGGGTTGGGGAGGGCGGAGGCACCCCAGAGGCACCAGCATGAGCAGGAGAGGCCGACTTGCAAGGAGACAGGCAAATGGACAGAGCAGAGGCCATGAGGTCCCCCAGGGGTGCTGCTGAGGCAGGCCGGGCCCAGGTGCTGGGGGGATGGGGTGAGTGGGGCAGGTGGGCGGTGGCTCCATTTGTAGAACAACCTCTTCCTCTCTGTCTTCTCTGAATGAAAATGACAAAAATTGTTTTAAAACTTTTATTCTTTTCAGGAGAGGTGAGCGGGGTCACAGGCGACCTCAGCTTCTTGTCCCCATATTCCAAACAAGGAGGATGGAGGAAAAGGCAGTGTCTAGAATTCCAAGATGCAGAGGTCCAGCCCAGATACTTTTCTCCCTCCGACTATCTGAGGGCTTTGACCTGATCCCTTCTGGACATGGTGTGGCCACCAGCGGGATGAGGCAGCTCCATGGAGCCCCCTGGTGGCCTAAGGAGTTGTTGCGGCCACAAGGGCCGGGGACAGGTTCACTCCTGGACACCCACTGAACTAGGACCTTTCTTGTGACCCAGACGGATGCCAGGAGCTTCTCTGGGTGCCAACAGGGAAACGTCGTCTCCCAACAGCCTTGTACTGAGGGCGTCACCCCCATGTTATATGTGGACACCTGGAGGGGACAGTCCCATGTCATCAGGCTGCTGCTGAAAATCCATTGTCAGGGAAACAAGTAACAGGCAGACCGTAAGTGAAAAAATAACATGAACATGTATTCGTTTAAAAATAGAGTATGTGTGCTGGTGCCTGCATAGACCCTGGAAGGATCGCGCGAGAACCTGGAATCTTCTGCACTTCCCGGAAGCAGAATCAGTGGGCTGGAGCGTAGGCTGGAAGGAGCTCTCCTCACTGGGATTAGTTTTGCACTTTTTGATTTTTTTAATGACATTGACATGTTGCCTATACTTAAAAATACATGAAAGATTTAAATATTCATGCACATTCAATGGCAGAAAGGAACTTGGAAGTGACCAAATGTTCCCCCAGTTACAGCAGCACCGATAGGAGCTGCTCAGCCACCACTTGCATGCCGCCAGTGGTGGGGTGCTTACCCCTTAGCAGGCCAGCTCGCAATCTGGAAAGACCCCCTCTCCATGGACTGAAACATGTCTGCCTGGTTTAACTTCTTTCTCCTGAGGTCATCTTTTAGGTGTCTGTAGGATGTCAAGGATTGGCTGAGCTCCCCCTGGGTGCCAGGGCCCATGGTTTCAGACCCCAATGAGCTCAGAGTCCAGTTTCTCACATCTAAGCAATGGGCGGGATTCTGAGGCCATTGGGTACAAGCCCTGGCCAAAGTGGCCCTCGCCTAGCGCACACCGGGCAGGTGGCTGTTAGTAACAGCAGAGAAGAGGCCCTGTTGCCCAAAGCTTTTGTCCATTCACAATACCCATAATTCATTGTGTCACATCCTCTCCCCCCACTTCCTGCTGTCCGGTCTCTTCAGAAATGCCTTAGTGGGCAGGCCTAGGGGCGCATTCGTTAGGAGTTGGCTTGGGACGCCGGCACTGAGCAGTAGGGCTGCGGTTAGGATCCCACATTAGGGCCAGTGACACTGCGCCCTCTACAGCTAAGATGGTGAACAACAGCTCAACCTGGAGCTGGTTGCGGTGAGTCGCTGGCAACGGCGTAAGCTGCAATAGGGCTGGCTGGCAGCTGGCGTGAGCTTTCGTGGGAGGCTGTGAGTGGCTGTGAACTGCCATGAGCCGCCGTCCAATGGCTGGCAAGTGACTTCCTCACTCAGAGAAGAGCGCAATGATAATACCAACATGGGCCAGTGAAGCAGCATCCTCCACAGCTAGGCTGAGGAACACAGGGACAGCAACTTGTCTGTTCCCCTTCCCCGATTCCTCAATGCTGTTCCCCTCCCCCAACTCCCCAATAAAATCTTTTTTTAAAAAAAAAAGAAAGAAAGAAATGCCTTAGTGATAGGCAGCTCATGCCCTAGCATTGGGGGTGTTCTGATTGGATGCATCTGACTGGTCATCCAGTCTCAACATCCCTGAGCCTCAGTTTCACCATCTGTAAAATGGGGTTAATAATAATCCTCACCCTGAAAGGTTGCTGTGAGGACCAAGTGAGGTGAAGCTAATATGCACTGTGGGGTGTGAGTGGAGCCAGGGGGGTGCTGGAAGAGAAGGGTCCGCCCAGAACCACTGCCGGCAAGTGGACAGGGTGGAGCCGTGGTGGGGAGCGGGGAGTGGGGGGAAAGTGGGTCTGGAGAGCAGGGACCTGGGGCTACAAATCTGAAATCGAGGTGTGGGCAGGGCTGGTTCCTCTGAGGACTGGGGAAGGAGAATCTGAGCGTGGAGTTAGGTCCTGTCCTAGAGCAAGGCTGTAGCTCCCACCTCTGAGGGCCTGGCAGGACAAGAGCAAAGCTGGCATTTATTCCTCAGGGGACTGGGGGGTGAGGGAAGGGAGGCTGTGCTGGGCTCCCCGGAAGTCTCCAGAAGAGCTGGGGGTGGAGGTGCCTCTGCTCTAGAGAGGCTGGGGGTGGGGGCAACACCTGTCAGCCCCCCTCTGGGGGGACCTTTCCATTACATGTCCTACCTAAGTCTTCACGCCTGCCAGCGTGAGGAGCCATTCCTTTTTACAGATAAGGAAACAGAGAGGTGAGGGTCCTGACTTCGATGTGTATCAAGGCTACAGATTAGCATAGTGTTAAAAGGTGTGCTGGGAACATAGGAAGTCTTATAAGAGTGAATAAGTGAGCCAGGCTTTGGTTGCAGGACTACTAAGAGCCTCTAGCAAAGAGGTGCATCTTGAATCTCCAGCAGGAGCTTGGAACGTGGTGTTTCTCAAACTCACCTGGCTGTGGCACCCTGTGCAGCTCCAGTGCCTGATGAAAGCGCCCAGAACCCATACTCTGCAGAACAGAGCCTGGGAAATGTCAGAAGGCAGCGTTTGAAATCGGAATCCCCCAGAACAGCTGGGCCAGTTAGCAAGCTGCAGAGTCGGGACGCAAACCCAGTGCTCTGGGTTACTAACCCACATCGCCTCACACTGTGGCTCCCAGTTCCTCATGTTTCAAAACAGATTTAAGACATCTGACGCAAATGTAGTCAAGTATTCACGTGGCTAAAGTCTGGTGGTGTGTTCGTGGGCGATCTTCCTTCTCTTCTTTATAATGTTCTGTAGGTGTAAAATGTCTACAAAAGCCCTGCTGGCCCCAGGCTCCTTGCCTCGCCATGAGTCAGGCTGCCAGGGTGGCAGAGCAATGACCAACTCACTTCCCCGTGCGCATGAGAAAACTCCTAGCACGTTCTCCTGCTGTGGCTGAGTGGCCTATGCTCCCCTGGAAACAGGGAGGCAGGTGGCCCAGTGGACAAACAGGCTGCCCCATGGTCTTCCTTCCTCCTCATTCTGGACAAGGAACTAATGACCATGTAATTAGCAGATGTCTGGTCTGCAGGAGCCGATGCATGGCTGCCCACGCTGACCCAGTCTGGCCGGAAGAGGCTTTGGGTGTTGTGCTGGCCTGCGTGTCCTGGTTCTGGCAGTCGACAGTGCCCACTAGGCTCCTGGAAATGTGGGCAGTGCTCCTAGGCCCTCAGCACCAATGGGCTGGGACCAAGTGGCCAGCAGGGCCTGGTCTCACCTCTTCCCCAACCCCCACTCAAGAGGTAGGGGAACTGGGGTTGAGGGTCAGGGAGGGTCCTGCATGGAGTCAGGGTTGGGAGATTATAGCAGGGCTGGGTATCCCCTCATGCTGGGCGGGGCCTGGATGGCTAGAAGGCAGCCTTTGTGAGCCCTGAATCATCTGCTGACAGCACAAAGCCAATGTTTGGGGAAGAAAATCCGGAGGTTTTCTCAGCCACAGGACTGGCTTCTGTGGCTGTTTCCATCAGACAGGGCTTGAGGGCACATCAGCTCAAAGGATCAGCTTTGTCTTTGCTGCTGGCACTGACTGTCCTTACCCCTCGTCCCTGTAAAAATCCTCGGCTCCACAGGCATTTGGTAAAATTGTCCAGGCCATCCAGCCTGTGGCTACTGGCTATGGCAGGAGCTCAGGCCCTGATAGCAAAGTCAGAGCATGCATGTATGCATTCATTCATTCACTCACTCACTCACTCATTCATCCTTTTGTCCATCCATGTGCTTATTTGTTTATAAAAACAATAAAATGCCCAGCATGTGCCAGACACCCTACCCTTGGGGTTCAACAGCCGGTAGGGACTAGAGCACTTCATTCTGGCTTCTGTTACTGAAGTTTGCTTTGTCTGCAATTAATGTAGCTACTCCAGGTTTCTTTTTAGTGGTAACATGCTATATCTTTCTCCATCCCTTTATTTTCAACCTGAGTCTTCATATTTAAAGCGATTTCTTGTAAGCAACCTATAGTAGGGCCTTGTTTTTCTATCCACTCTGACAGCCTATGTCTTTTAATTGGTGTATTTCAATCATTCACATTAAAGCGGTTATAGAATTGGGTTAACATCTACCATATGTGTCACCTGTTTGCTATTGATCATACGTGTTCTTTGTTTTTCCCTCCTTTTTTTCTGCCTTCTCTGGTTTTAATTGAGCATTTATTAATATGACTTCATTTACAGCCTTTCTAAGCATCTCAATTATACTTCTTTTAAAAGTTATTTTAGTGCTTGCTCTGGCATATACAATATACATTTTGTTTATGCTGCAATTTTTTTATTAATAGACTTTATCTTAGAACAACTTTAGATTTATAGGAACTTTTGAGCAAATAGTACAGAGGGAATATATACTTTTAACTAATATATAAGTCTGTCTTCAAAAACACTATTCCATTTCCTGCATGGTACAGGTAACATACTACAGGGTATTCCCAATTCCTTTCTCCCGCCCCTTATGGCATCACTGTCATTCATTTCACTTACCCATATGCTAGAACCATCCAATATACTGAGTTTCTGACCTATATCATTTTCCTTCTCCTAGAAGAACTTCTTCCTTTTTGTTTTTAAAGATTTTATTAGGGAATTTGAGGAGGGGAACAGCGTTGGGGAATCGGGGAAGGGGAACAGACAAGTTGCTGTCCTTTTGTTCTTCAGTCTAGTTGTGGAGGATGTCGCTTTACTGGCCCATGTTGGTATTATCATTGCGCTCTTCCCGAATGAGGCAGTCGCTCACCAGCCATTGGACGGCCACTCACAGTGGCTCACAAAAGCTCACGCCCACTGTCGGCCAGCCCCACTGCAGCCTATGCCATTGCTGGCAACTCACTGCGGACCAGCTCCAGGTTGAGCTGTTGTTCACCATCTTAACTGTAGAGGGCGCAGCATCACTGGCCCTCATGTGGGATCCCAACCGGGGCCCTGCTGCTCAGAGCTGGCGTCCCAAGCCAACTCCTAACCAACGCGCCACTCGGCCGGTCCTCGAAGAACTTCTTTTAACATTTTTTTGTAAGGCAGGTCTGCTGGTGATGAATTCCTCAGTGTTTGTTTTTCTGAGAAAGTCTTTGTTTTCTCCTTCACTCTTGAAGGATAATTTTGTCAGGTATAGAATTCTAGGTTGATGGCTTTTTCCCCCGCCACTTTAAATGCTTGGCTATCCTCTCTTCCTGCCTACATGGTTTCTAATGAGAAGTTTGCTGCTGTTCTCTTTGTTCCTCTGTAGGTGAGTTTCCTCTGGCTTCTTTCAAGATCTTCTCTGTCTTTGGTTTTCTGCAGTTTGAATATGATCTGCTTAGATGTAGATATTTTTTTGGGGGG